TCCCAAACGCCTAGCTGTCCATCAGTTGAGCCTGTGACAATAGCTTTCTGGTCATATGTTGTGGTAATACATGATATGCAGTGCGTTGGAGGTGATTTTCCCCACAAAACTACTGGAACCACAGAAGAAGAAGAGGACATTTTGATCGGACTCCATGAGCCTGCACATCAATAAAAATCAGCGGTAGTACAAAAACAAACCTGCGCGACACATGTAACCCAACAAAACTATGCGCATGCCTTGAATTTACCGCTGGTCATAAGTAATGTGGTCTCAATTTTCAAACATGGCGGCTGCACACGGTAATGTAAAAATTATTTCAGACGATGCACAATTTAGACCAGAGCTTGCTAACGCGGGATCAAAGCTTGTTGTAGTGGATTTCACAGCTTCATGGTTAGTAAATGATTGATTTTGTTTGATAAGTGATTGAAATAGTGTGATTTTCCCGATAAATGATTATCCCCCAAAATGTTTTGCCGGCTTTTGACGACATCATCTGATTCTAAATGGCGATTATTATAAAGTCTTAGATTAAAACTTAACTATATTGAATAAACTGATCAATTTTTTTAGCGACAATAAAAGCTTGAGCCGGAAAAGTGCAAATTTAATTTATTTATTAGTATTTTAAATTATCTAAAGTTACAYTATATGACTCAGCGAAAAAATGAACTTGTCTTACTGTACTTTTTTGCATTCATCCATTATTTTAGGTGTGGACCGTGRAAAAGCATTGCACCTATATTTGAACAYTACAGTACAAAGTACAACAATGCCTTATTTTTAAAGGTTGATGTTGATCAATGCCAGGTTAGTATGTCCGACCTACAACTTTACAGTTAAGCTTACTCTTATTCACAGAAAAGCTAAGACATGATTATTTTTCTATTCATTGATAAAAATATACCAGGAAACAGCATCAAGGCAAGGGGTTTCAGCAATGCCGACCTTTCAGTTTTTCAAGAGCCAGACAAAGGTTGATGAAATGACGGGAGCAGACCCCAAGAAACTGGAAGAGAAAATTAAGAAGTGGATAGGAGATGAAGAAGATGGTGGTGCTGGTTGTGGAGTCAAAGGGCATGTAAGAGATACTATAAATCAAATGTTTGGTGATTGAACAAATGAAGGATCAGCTGAATGATTGATTAGCTGATTGATTGCTTAGTTGGTTGGTCGATGGAAAGATGTAATGTTTGATTGATTAGTTGATTGAATGATGTTTTGATTGATTAATTGATGTATGGATTGATGGATTGATTAGTTGCTTGATTGATTGATTGATTAGTTGATTGATTGATTGATTGGTTGATTGATTGATGGATAGATAGATGGGTTGATTGATTAGTTGCTTGATTGATTGACAGGCTGATATCTTACAATGTTTGTTATTTTCCATACAGACTGATCTTCATAGTTTCATCAACAAAGCTGGTTGTGAGTCATTAAATGAAGATAATGAACACACTTTAGCTGATGCATTATCTAAAGGACCAGGCTTCTTACAGAGTGACTGCGATGAACAGGTAAGTAGTTTGTGATCAAGAGCCCTCGACCTTTGGTCCTAAAAAAAACATGAACCTGAATCTGTATAACTGTARAAGTCAAAAAGGAAACCATTACAACATAGTAGTAGTTCATAGTAGTTCATGTTTGATTGATTTTTTACTTTCCATCAAAAGTGTACTCATATGATGTTGTGTTTTCTTAGCTTTTGTTTTCCATAGCATTCAATCAACCAGTAAAACTTCATTCTATAAAACTTGAAGGACCCAATGATGGTGAGCATTAATTGATTGATTGATTGATTGGCTGATTCATTGATTAGTTGATTGAGTGATTGATTGATTGATAGATAGATCGATGATTAGTTGATTAAATGATTGACTGTTTGATTGATTAATTGTTCCATAGGAAAAGCACCAAAGAATATTAAACTTTTCATTAACCAAACAAAATCCTTGGACTTCGATTCTGCTGAGAATTTTACACCTGTACAAGCACTGGAGTAAGTAACTGTTATTGTTATATTTTACATCTTCTAATCATCTCTCCATCTMTCAGTTTATTCATTCAATAKGTATTACAGTGGYAATCGCGACCTCTTTGTTTTGAAGTTTGTCTGGATTTTGTTCTTTTTTTCAATCTGAGGGGCAGAGCTTTTCGAAAACTRGTTCAATCATTGGCTGATTAGTATCAAGCTCRGCCCCCAAGTRGCAGAAAAACCTAAATRCCAACTATTTCCTTTSYACATTGAAGTCGCGATGCAACGGTTTCTGCTGTAATTCTAAAAATCACTTTTATTTGGTATTAGACTCACAGCAGACGATGTCAGCGGAGAAACTATAATTCCTCTAAAATATGTCAAATTTCAAAACGTCCAAAATATTACAGTAAGTACAGATWTTTCTAACATTGACATGTACACCTTTATATCTAGCTTATGTATTACATATTTACTAAGTTATCTTTTTCTCAAACTCTTAAAAGGTCTTGAAAATGTTGCAGTATCTATTACATGTAACAGGGTTGTTGTTATTTCAGTTCTTTGTAAAAGACAATCAAGGTGATGAGGAACTTACAGTGATCAACTATCTTTGCATTATTGGAAGTACGCTTGAAGCAACAAATATGCAAGATTTCAAAAGAGTAAGATGCATTGGCCCAATTTGTTCGAGATGACATGTTTAATTAATACGTTTTAAGCATTGTTTTAACACCTCTTTCATTTTAGATTTCAGGAAAGAAAGGCGAAAGTCACTAAAAATGAATCAAGTCAAATTTTAACTTTTCTCTGCCACATAAACATTTCAAAGAAACCGCTGGTGATTATTATATTATCGTAAACTACTATACTGTACATTTGTTTCCAAAATAAAAGCAATGAATATACCCCAGTTTAACTAAATTGTGAATTAAATTTGACAAAGTATTTCAGTGTAATAAAGCTTGATGATTCTACTTGCGATGTTCTTGCAAATCTATTCTTATGGCATTGAAAGTTGAAGCCGTGTTTTCAGTAATACCTAAAACAAACAAGACGCATTATTGAAACCTTTTGAGATTGTAGCATGTATGAAGATTAAAGTGAATTGTGTATGGACAATTTCACTTACCAAGTATGTGCCAGAAGGACTACAGACAAAATGATCTTCGGATTCATGATCATTCCAGATACTCCTAAAAAAGAAAAGCGTGGGAATGAATAAAGAAAAGAACGTTTTCGCAATTTCAGAAGTCTGTCCTCACATTTCAAGATTCTGTTCTCTGACGCAAGTATAAAATTTATCTGAAAGCCGGGTCGGACACGCCTTTCACAGTCCCTAAATTTTTTTCAAATTCGTTATACTTTACTCACCGCAATGCTTTTCGTTACAATGTGTGTTTTCACACTGGATTTCCTTTGCAATTTGAATTCCATTACAGGCACCAAAACAAGACCGATTTTGCCAGATCTGGGAAGGTGTACCGCCACAGCACTTTGACGCGCAAAAGTTCATGTCTGTCACCCACGGAGAAACAGAGTAAGGAGCTGTATGGTATAAGAAATAGTTGCTATTATCAAAGCCCCAAACCGGGTATCGCGCATAGAATTGGCTCTATTTGGAAGCTGTTATCAATATGATGTAATATGAAAACGACAATAAAAGTATGAATTTGACTTATTCTGAAAAACAGCAACGACTACAACAGCGTTCATCCCAAAGAAATTTCKTAATTCTCACAGCCACAATGTTGSCTCMTGCATGAAGTGTCCTTGCACTTGACTTGCMTTGCAAGCACCACTCCTTCACACTCTCCCGAGCATGAGCGGTTTTGCCAGGTCAGGGCTTCGCCATTACCGCAGCACTTAGATGAGCATAGGCTCATGTCTGTTGTCCATTGAGTTGCTGAAATGAAAAATAAATGATTGTGAAGATGGGCAATTGAACAAAGAAAGAAACTGAGAAAAGGAACATAGAACACTTGTGCAGAGAAATGAAAAATGGGAAGTGGAACTGGGAGAAAAGAATAAAGAACGGGAGTAATTGGATTGGACAYTGTTAATGATTATCKGACTATTTTTAGAAATGTGTGGGTGTTTTTTGCATACTTATAGGAGGCGGTTTTTCCAAGTAAGTGTTGCATTTTTCCTTCTTGCAGCATGTATAGTTGCTGCATCCCACAAGTGTTTTGCTTGAATTGGCTGGTATAAAACTGGTGTCGTTCCATTCTTTGCATAGCTCTTCTTTCGTTTTGGAGCAATAGATATTTGATACCACACAGTCTTTGTACAATTCCCGGATTGGCTGTCGAGATATAATGACTTTGTCATACAAAATTATGGGCACACCTATGGTTATAGTAGGGGAGGGACTTTTTCAAAGTGCAGATGTTCACCTGAGTGTATGTTAGTTTTGTGTTTTGTGTTTGTTTTTTTTTTTGTTTTGTTTGTTCTCAGTTGATGGCTAGAGTTCGTTTGTATACGTAGTTTTTTGCATCTTTATATACTTGTTATAAATCTAATAAACTTCATTATTTTCAAGTGCACATTACGTTATTTCTCCCTTTGCGATCAACATTGAATTGTAAAAATTCATTTATTTTTTAATCTGTACCGTACCTTGCCTGTAGTTTTGTTGACCAAGTCCAAGGCTTGAACGAAACAAGCGTCCGTARMGCTCGGACAAGGTTTAGTTTTCTCCCTTATTTTATAGCATTGTTCAGCCGTCGTATGCCTTGGACAATCATAACATGTCTTAACTGGTGAAAATGATCCCCTTGTCAAGCCTGAGAAAAAAAAAGTAATGAGCGGCCATATGGCGAAAATGTGATGCGATTAATTGCGACTTACCAAAAGAAACTGCAAAAATCAAAATTGTAAAATGAACTTTGGTATACTTTTTCGACTTAAACATTTTTAATTTGGATAGRATAGTTCCAAAATGYTACAGTGGAGTTTTTGATGAAATTCACCGGCTGTCGAAGTGGCTCAGTWTTGTTGACAGTAACGCCCAAAACTTMCTCCTTTTTCCCTGGTAACAATTCTAGTCAACCGCGTATAAACACTACCATCTTATTAATCTTGCATTAGGAGTGCTTTTTTCAAAAATAAACTTAAATTATTTACAAACCCGTAGAGATAGTGAGCTCGGAGGACAATAGCAAGGTACACTGAACTGAATAGTGCTCAATAATAACTGTAAAAAATTTAATAAAGTAGTAGTAGTAGTAGTAGTAGTAGTAGTAGTAGTAGTAGTAGTAGTAGTAGTAGTAGTAGTTACACTGATCAGTGCGTCGAGTATTAGTTCTAGCAGTTCTAGATTTAATGCAATAATGCTTATCACTTTGTTCGTTTCCATATCTTTATTTATTTTATATAACACTGATTTTACTAATTTTTAAATTAATTTTTTGATTAAAATTCTCATCTATTTATACTGTAGCATATAGGCAAGTGTATGAGTGCGACCCCCTGCTGAGAAGTTGAAAGGAAAGAGCTTCATTTGAGTTTTTTCTATAGTCGTTCCAAAAAAGATATTCAGTTTTTAATATCTTAACAATAAATAAATCTGTGGTGACGTAAATAAATGTTTATTTGAGATCGGATGCTTGTTTTTCAGAATGAGTCTCATTTAGATTTGATTTTTTCTTTTATTCGTATATCATGTTAGCGTGACGCTCGACTCCCGCCCAATAAGGTCTTCGATGCACTAAAATGAGCGGGAGTTTTCGAACGTACAAGAAAGATCCCCAAAATATTTCCATATTTTTGAATCCTAAAATGGGAAAAGGGGAATCCTCATATGGAACTTCCTGGTCGATTCTAAGTTTGCAACAGTTTTGTTTCTATTTTTGTTTTTGTTCTTTTTTTATTATGTCTTTTGGAGTTCCTAGAAGGCCTAACCTTACCCTCCCCTCTCCCATGTTCAATTTGATAATTATGTGTAGGGCGTTGAGCCTGGGCCGGGTCATTCAAGCTTCGTGGATCTTTGCTTGGGGGAAAGATTGTCTGGAACATTCGACCACTTTTGGCCTCAATTTCTCGCTGTAATTGCAACCAGAACTCTCTGAATTACTTCTGAAAGCCTCACCAGTAATTCTACTTGCCTATTTGAGGCTTAGAAGGTACTTTAGTTCAGTTGGACGCCACAGACTTGAGATATTTGATAGACGCTTCACTATGTCTTGGGTGAAAGAGAAGAAAAAGCCCGTCGATCTATCAAAGTACGATGACATCGATGAAGACCTGATAGTTGAAGGACTTACTGAAGATGAAATAAGAGAGCTAAATGCAGCGATTGACCCAGAGGTATGCTAGTTTATCACAATACAGGGATGTATATTTTAAGACTATCTTTATTATGATGGCATGCCAGTATGTCGATCATGCGTTTGACTGGAAACACGAAGTGAATCTAAATAAAGAGCACAGCACGATCTGAATGATTCTTATAGCAAACCTCTTTCTTAATATCAATCTTATTTTATTCGCCAACTCGTAAGCTCTCGATCGGAATGCCGTCGCGTCTTTCTGGCATTTGTATTACCTATACTTTAGTTTGTGTATTTCCTTTGGCTAAAACAGAATTCGTTCGAGCTTATCAACAGCAATCTTTTTCGTGAGATTATGATATTAAGTCGTACACATTCTAGAATAGGACTGTAATGAAGAATGGTCATTTCCAAAAGTATGTTTATATGTACGTAATTGTTTTGTTGAGTCCCTGGGGTATTTGACGTATATAGAGCTGGAGCTTTGCCAGAGAGAAATGTCCAGACCTACTTATGAACTAAGCTTGAAACAATAAAGCTGCAAATTTTGATTTTAGCTCAATGTTTGATTTCTCCTTGGAAAGAGTATACAGCCTTTTCWGGCGAAAATTAAGGGCATTGCTCATTCCATTCTTTACTTTCTAGTGTGTGATCAGCTATCTTAAAACAATAATTAAACAACAATGCTGCTCATGCAAAAATGCAATATGCAAGTTTAAATAGGCCATTTTAAAATACTGCTCACCCMTTCTTTGCAATAAAAAATGTTAGAAATTGCAGAAATGCTGTAGTTGACAGATGAGCTGTACAATCATGTATTTGGACTGCAATTTGTCAACAACAAAATACAATGGTAGCCTGTTATATACCTCCCTGTGTCCCTGTTTCAGGATATGAAATATTCTTCACTGATGATGTGCAATGGGGCTGTGATGCTGTAGATAGCTGCACCCGTTGTTGCATATTCTATACACACTTGTTGCCTATTATGTCTTTGATGAATTTCGAGTGATGTGGCTTGTACCCAGAACCTTTTTGGGGCCTCATTAGCATTGACTTGTACTGTAGTTTATTAGTTTGAATATGTGAGTGCAAAGGAGCACAAGCTAATTAGCTTACTATCAATATGTACCGTCAGGTGATAGAGATGTTGAGGCCATCTTCAGTTTTTTGTTTTCTGTTTATCCCTCTACTGTGAAACCACATAAAATGCTTTTGTCTCTTCATTTTTCAGTGTATGTTTAGCATAATGATGATTGGAAACTGCATGTGTTTCATGAATACACTGTAAATATTTTCATATAGTATAGAAATTTGTATTTGAAAATTTGTATTTCTCCTGCAGAATGCTCTMCTACCTTCCCACATGCGTAATGCGTACTCAACAGACAAAACACCATCAGGACCATTTGACAGAAAAAAGCTGTTAGCTCATCTAGAGGAACAAGCTAAGAATGAAGAAGAAAGAGAAGATGCTGTTCCCTACAAGAAAGAAACTCGTGGCAAGGTTTACATCCCAAAAGATGTTCCTAAACAAGAAGAAGAAATTGCTGAGGTTCCAGAGGAATTTGCAGACATCTTGGAAAATGCTACGGAAGAAGAACTTCTGGAGTTAGCTGGTAAGTCTGTGGAATTTACTGTGGTATARSTTTGTCTTCTCTYAGCTGCTCAGACTGCAAATAGTGTAGGTCAGTRGRAGAACTATCTGAAGCTGCATTGGAGAACTTTCTTGTTAGCACCATGGGGTCATTATTTATTATAACTCTGGCAACTAATCATCAGAATAATTATTTTAACTGTCTTGTTACAGGTGTCCTTGGTATTCACCAAATGTTGACACAATCTCAAAGTCACCAAGCTGAGAAAGAAGCGTCTGGTAGAGTATTGAAAGGCAGTGGTCTAAAGAAGTACACACCAGGTACAGTCATTTTTACTGTTGTATACACCTTCTTCATTTGTGTCTTGTGTTTTACATTACTGTTTTTTTCCTTSAAGGAATTGTAATGGGAGCYAAAGTTAAAAAGACAGATCTCACAGCAATAAATGAACTAGACTTGGACAAAGCAATGAAGAAACTACGTCGAAATGATGGCGGACTGACAAAACTGAACCTAAATAACCACAATGATGTAACCCCCAAAATACTGGAAGAGATTGCTGAATTGTTAAAGACAAATACACACTTAAAATATCTTGAACTTGCAAACACCCAAATGACTTGTCTAGTAGCTGAGGTATGTTTTAAGTCCAATTCTTAGATACTCATTTTCTGGGATGAGCACCATCCACTRTCAAAASCATGKGTAGTGTWCTGAACATCTCTTTATATTTTTTTCCTGAAAATACCTCAGCATCATGAGCACCTATAGTATTTTTGGAAGCATCCCTGACATTGTGCATCAATTGATCAAAGTATATCTGTTCATTTCAGAAATTCTTGGACTGTCTGAAAGTAAACAAGACACTCAGAATCCTCAACTTAGAATCTAATTTCTTGTCTAGCGAAATGCTCTTGGTAAGATAGCATGATATTGTATTGAATTATATGGTTTTCTCCCCTCTTTGCTCTGAATTCCATTCTAACAGCATTATTTCTTAAATTATAAAGCTTTTTTTCATTAAACTATTCATCCTTTTAAAACTAATTCAACAATTAATCTATTCCTTGTCTGTTTTAAGAAATTTGTGAAAGCTATCAAAGATAATACTACCCTCAGAGAACTCCGACTTGATAATCAGGTACAGATTTTCAATGTGTGTCATTGAAGTCCGTAAAAACAGCATTTTCACCAACACTTTTTTATGTTTGTTTACAGAGTGGTATTGTTGGAGCCAAATTCGAACAGAAAATTGTAGCAGCATTAGAAGAAAATCACACTTTGCTGAAGTTTAGCCTGAGCTTTGATACACAGTATCCAAGAATACGTGCTGCAGAATTGATGGTCAGGAACAATGARGCAGGCAAGTATTGAGCTTTTTCTGGCAGATATTTTAGTTAAGTGGTTCCTGATACTGTTAATTCGTAAAGTAGATTTCTGAGAGTGTAAATTAATAATATCCCTTATAGATTATTAACAAAATTGTACAAAATTCTTTGTCTTCAATTGTTTGAGGAGAGTAGTTTTGTGTTATTTATTATGAAGTGGAGAGAGACGTACGATAAATGCACTCTATCTGGTCARAARGTCTTTYCCTTTTTTTCTGCTCTAAACAGAAGACAGTTCGGTTCTCTTTTCTATAGCATGATGTTAACATGTAATTATATTTCATTAGCTCGACTAGCAAGAAATGATGAAAAGGAATCAGAAGAAGAAGAAGAGGAGGAGCAGGAGGAAGAAGATGAGGAGGAAGAAGAGGAGGACGAGGAAGAAGAGGATGACGAGGAGGAGGAAGAAGACGAGGAGGAGGAGGGAGAAAAGTAGAGTGCAAATCTAGTAATCTATTCTATTATCTTAGGTCAAATAATGTACATTTCTTTGCCAAATACGCTTGTCCATTTACAAACATTGACAGGAAATAAAACTACATCAAAAAAGGAAGTAAAAGTGTACTCAAACAGGAAGTGAAGTGTATTCAGACAGGAAGTAAAGTAGCAGGAAGGACTATTGATTCCCATTGATATAATATTGTACACCATGTAGTTAAAAAGTAAGTTGAATTGGCATCAACAATTCATCACTTTGAACTGTTTATTGTACTCCAAGTCCATCAAGTGAACAAACACATTTTTACATACTACTTAAAACTAGTAGAAAATGTTGAGATCATTCATGTTGAAGTTGAGTTAGACAGAAAGCATTGATTCACCTACATATAACCTACTTTGCATAAAACTCTACTGATCAGGATTCCTGTGGAAAACTTTGACAAATAAAGGCAGAAGAAAGGAAGAAGTCTTTGTTTCTAATCTCATGACACCAGGTCTTCTCAATCAAGATTATACACAGGTAGACCAAGACGATCAAAATATCTGTTTCCCAAATTCTTGCTTCCATTTGAGTGGTCTGCAAAGTATGCTATACTTTACTAATATTTCCAGTAATTGTTTGACTCAAGAGGGAAATATCTAAATGATTTGCTACAGTGTAATACATGTAGTATTCATAATAATCATGTATTCTAGTCATTCTAGAAAACCAAAATAACTAATGAGACACAAGTTAGGTGTCTTCCTATTTTGCTTTCGAGCCATCTTAATTTAATATAAACACTTTTGTAGAAAGTAGTGTTAAACTTTCTTGGACTGTTGCTGTCATTCCTTCTGTCATTTAGCAATCTATTGATTGGATTTTATCTTGTTTTAAACCTATTTAACCTTTATTCCTTAATTGTGTTGTCTTTATTTTGTCACAATCTTGGCCTCTGTATTTATCTATTTTCTCTAGTGATCTTATATGACCTGATTCCAATTAAAATGTCTCTAACATTGTATTTAGAGTTTTAAAATTAAAAATAAAACTAAATGAATGATTGCTTTTGTCTTTGTTTTCTTTTTGGTGGTACAAGTCACCTATTGTAGTCTCGTCGCAGGCGTTTTTAGTGGTGGGCTCCCTGTCTTCTGTCTGTCTGTGGGGCAGGGGACAGGGAGCCCAGAGACCGCCACTAAGAATATGGCTGCGAGGAGACTACAAGTCACGTTGTCTGTAAGGGATTAGGGACTAGTCTGGAGTAGCGCACTTTAGCATCAACATATCAGTATTTCACCACAATCTGCAGACTATCACAAATCCTGGATTTTGATTGGCTCCTGCACCTCAAATTATTTGCGAAAATCAAAACTAACCGTAGACGCTCTAAGAGTGTGTACTCGCGCTCATCTTGAACGGTACAAGGAATATATTTCTTATAATTCAAATTTATGTAATTTATTTAACTTGGCAAAATATTCAAAATACATCAATAATTATCCCAATATATATTTCTACACTTAAAGAAAAGCCAGTTTACCCCCCATCCCTGCAAAAAAAGTAATCAATCATTCCTTTCGAATCCTTCGTATTTTTCTCGAAGTCTGGTCAGCTGGATGGCAATCTGAGCTGGGGTTCCTTCTGTCTTGGCTTTGGATCCCAAGCAAGACCTGTACTGGTCCCATTTCAGGTTTGGATCACAGTACTTCTCGTGGTAGAAGTGGAAAAGATCTCGGTCAGGGGCTCGAATGATCCTGTTAACGAGAATAAAAAATCTTTAGATGTAGTTTTACTCTCAATGATAGATAAAGTGAAATAAAGGTTGTGTTACCTAAAATATAAGTCCTAAAGATGAACATATAGTTCGAAAACGTTAGAAAAGGTCAAAATCTTACCTTCTTGATTTACAAAAAATAAAGGAAATTTCGAGAATCGAGCAAAAAATCGCAAGTGGCTAAAAAGGACTTAGTGAAAGTCTTAGCGTGACCAAAAGACTCCGGAGCTCTAGATCGTTGTATGGATTTACGTTATAAAGATGGACGTTTTAGAGCTCCTCGTAATGCAAAAAAAAGGTGAGGGAAGAAACTCTCGCATAACAGGAATCTCAGTCTTTTAGGGAATGGAGAAAGAGAAAAGGGAAAAAAAGTTATGAAGGAACCCTTTTTTATTGTCGGTGATTTTGCCACTAATACACTATCGCGCCTACAGATATTGTATTTGGATCCAACATGGACCACACATTTCTTACCTATATCCGGGTTTTTCAAGATATCTAGCGTATAGTTGCTGATCCTCTGATCCCCAACCTTCAATACTCAAATCAAATCCTCCGACTTTAAGATAATCGGACCGATATTGACATGTCATTCCAAAACCATAGGTTCGCCAGAAACCGTTACTACGATCTATTAGTGAAAACATATCATTAAGGCTATGAAAATACGATCTATTAGTAAAATCATATCATTTTTAGGCTTTGAAAATAGCTCACGCTATTACAATTAAGCGCAGTATAAAATTTTGCCTTGCTTTTGCGTCCATATTCCAAAGCTGAGCGTTTTTGATGTATGATTCAGAACCCCAGCGAATCAAAATTAATATCTGCAAAGGATCTATATTTTGTTTTGCTGTTATATCCTTATCGGCGAAAAACATCTTTTATGACTTTACCCTCCCCTCCCTTTAAGATACTCACCTATCTTCAGTTGTGCTTCCTGTTCCGGTATACTACCATCCGCATAGACATTCTTTGGATTATAAAGACTAAAAACTATCGGATAGTAAACCTGTTTACCCGGTTCACTATACGTTCTACAACGACGTAGAAACTCCGCACTGAACGTTATGTCTACATCACAGAAAAACATAAGAACATTAGGATCTTGTCCCTTCCAGTAGATCACTCCATCGTGAAGCGCYCGACCCCGTGAGAACTCCTTGTCTCGCATGACCAGTTCATATTTACGGAACCCATAGTCCTTTTCTAGTCCTTGGAGGATCGTTTTCACCGTCTTGAAGTCTTTTTCCCCATAGAGAACAACAGTTAAATAAACATTTTTGTCTTTTTTGATGCAAACATCAACAAATAGTTCGATGAAGTTTTGAAATCTCTCCAGACGCCCAGAAAGGGGTAGAACAAGATTGATTGTTTCATCTAGCTTTTTTTTATTACTGTTGAGAATTTGTACARTAGGCTTTGAAAGTTCTCGCCAGACCCTRACTGGTATAACAGTGTTGGTTTTACGTGGAGATCGGAAGTAAAACTCGTAATCGGCTCCTCCGTTGATATCATAACGGTAGACACCATCCAAGAAATCCTCCCTGGTCAAYGCTAATGACTGGTTAGAGTTAATCATGTCAATGATTTTGTCTTCTATTTGAAAAATGTGTCTTCTTGGAGACCTGATTGTTCTAGTTTTCACATTCTGCCCTCTGAACATGTATTCTTTCGGTCTAGGTTGGCTGTCGGGTTCATAAATATGAGTCTTTGCAAAGCTYTTAAAGGGAAGGTTTTCTGCTATAGACGGTTTGTGCAAAACATTACTTCCGTCATCTGTGGGAGATGGTTGYTCGCTTTCGTGACGTAGTTTACTCTTGTTGATGGTTTCTATAACTTCCATCAAATCYACTTTCTGTGACGTCAACTTGGCGATCTCGGTTTTGGCATTTTCCGCTTTCTTTCTCAAGCTTTGGATATTGTATCTTAACCTACGGTTCACCGCCAAGTAATTCGTTAATTTGACTTTTAATGAACTAATCTCTTGTAGAAGTAAACTTTTCTGTTCATGGATCTTTGACGCATTCTCTTTGCTTATCCGCAATTCTTCTTTCAAATCCCATTTAGCCGTTGCTCTTTTGTCTCTCTCCACAGATTTAATTCTGCGCAGTCGCTTTCCTCGCACTAGCTGTCCATGATTATAAAATTGATAAACCAAGACCACYCAYACAATGACCAATAAATATGCGGTGATTCTCTGGACACGAAGAGAAACGAAGGCCATTTTGAAAGAGTGCTATTTCCATTTAGTACCAAGAACATTTTTACAGTAACATTTTAAAATAATCATTGCCCCTTTCACTGTTTTCTGAGTTGTAAATTGTCAAAGGACACGTGGTCTCGGGAAGAGAAAACCAGAAGAGGGACTACTTAGGTCGTTCATGGGTGATTGGCTGCTACAAGACCTTGACGCTGGTACCGGCCGCAGCTCACAAAGCTCGTCGGTCACTATTTGTGTGAAAGCAGCAAGTGGRACGTCGATCAGGTAAACACTCAAACACAGTTTTTACTGTAACTGTCCATGGAAACCATGGATACTGAATCATATTAGTTTTATGAATTAATCATTTACGTGATTTTGTTTTGAAGAATAAATAGATAAACATTGTATTCATTCAAATAGTATCTTCAGAAAAGGTAAAGAGTTGAAGGATATAAAATGCGTCTCTCAAATGTACATTTTTCGTACTAATTTTTGCGATTTATAAAAGCTCACGAAATTTAAGACCCGTATAAAAGGGTTTACGCAACTCAATATGTATTTAAAGCAATTATTTGGCAAAAACGCGCGAAATTCAATACGAAAATAACCTGTGACATCACGATTGATTACAAGAAGTTTTCGACTCTTGAGGTAGGAGAAGTTCAGTAACAGAAGAATAGAAGAAAACAAAGAAAAAAAAGATGGAAGATAGGAGTAAGGTAGTAAGTACGTTTCACGGATTGAGTGTGTCTAGGTGCATTTGACGTGTTATAAAGACCACTATCTCAACGTTGGAATATCAATGTTTTTTGTATAAAGTCAATTCTGGCCGTAGTCTCCTCGCAGACGTTCTACTTAAGGGAGCCCGCCAATAAGAACGACTGCGAGGAGACTATTCTGGCCGCTAACTTAATATAAATATCAATATATAGGGTAGCTTTTCAGTTTCTAAAATAAACGTTTGTCAAAAAACTGTAAATTGACATGAATAACCTTTAATAAACATAATTTCAAAGTATTTGAATGATTTGCGATCTGTTTTAGCGAGAAAAGAGCGAAAATCACATGACATCACCCATAACGCACCAGATCATGTTAGAGGTTAAAATGTTTTGCAAGTAACTGAAAACATTTTGTTAACATTAAATCTAATTCAGATCTGAATAACGTCCCAGCAAAAATATTACGGTCCTTACTTAATTCAAAGGGTTTTTAGCCAATTTTTTAGTGCAAAAAATACCCACAATGCAACCGATATATGTATATATAGCCATTGTTGACTTTTACATAATTTTAGACAAAACGCTGTAATTATCCCCATATATATAAAACCACAAACCAATGTTCAATTCTTTTATTGCTATTAAATGAATAACTGTGCTTTACATTAAGACATTGGCCACCAATAAAGTGAACTCCAACTCTTAACCATACAAATCAAACACTGTTTAAAACGACAATACCGACATTTCTACATTACATTTTTATTAACCTTGGCCTATGTACAAATATAGCARGCTTAATTCTTACTAGTGGGACTGTGCGTAGCTAACCCATGTCCAATTTTGTGCTTCAAGATGCACTATATCTCATATCGGTTTAAAACAGGTCTGTTTCAGTCTTGAAAAGTTAGTCACACACAGRCCTCTGGGTCTTAAAATGGACAAATTCCATTCTAATGGWAAGACACTATGAAATTTTAGTCCTTTTTACAACAATTTGAAAACGTTAAATCACGTTAAAATGTCAAGCTATAAATATTGTGGCTACTGTAATGATTTCGACATGGTCACACAAAGTAGTTCTTATAACACCACATTAAAACAAATTCGCCAAACGTTTCTACTCTCAGCACGATGACGTCATAGATAAGTCATGTGACTTATCACGTGACTGCTAAAGAATCAAGCTTCAAAAAAAATAAACCAGTTTGTGCGTATAAGAACACTTGTGTATCAATTGTTAAGTATGCAGGCACTAAAACCTCTCGATTATAAATATTAATAAAAATAGTTGTGTCAATAATTTAATTCTAAGTTAAATTTGCTACTTTTACCGGTTTAGTGCTTGCACTTTGACACCACA